GTTTAAATATTTCATTTCGAATTCATTCAAGCCCGCACCTGCGAGGTGCTTCATCATTATCATCATCATCTCGTGTTTTGCTGATTTCCTGTCGTAGTTGTTGAAAAGGAATTCATATAATTCCGCGGCTTCTTTAGGTTCATCTTGGTTGTCCATGATCATCGAGTTAGCGGACTGGCGTTGCTTTTTCGAATAAAGATGAAAACTGTCTCTCGGATTCAGTGACTCGGGCCTCGGTTCAGGAGCCGGCTCGGGTGCAGGAGCAGGTTCGGGCTCTGGCCCAGCAGGAGGAGCAGGTGCTGGTTCCAGTGCAGGCTCGGGTGCAGGAGCAGCTTCGGGCTCTGGCTCAGGTTCGTGAGCAAGAGCAGGTGCTGGCTCGAGCATCGGCACGCCTAGGTCGGCAAGTGATTTTTTCAAACGATCTTGCAGATCATCGCGAGTTTCAGGTGTTGTGACTCCTAGTGCGTTAGCTGCGTGTAGCTCTCCGATAATGTAACCCAGTTTCGGATTAATTCCTGAAAAGAAATCACTGTGTGTAACAAAGGCAGCCGGTCGAAAGCCGACGGCGTATAAAGGGTTGGTGCCGTCCGGGTTAGGTTCGACCACGTGCCAGCTGTCCAACATTGTCAGCTTTTCCGGGTCAAGTCCGCCCGGGGTCTTTAGAGAGAAATACCCTAAACTAGGGTACTAAGGAACGTTGAGATCAACGTTACGGGTAGTGCAGTGTCATCTCCATAGTGTGACGTCGCGATAGTGAGGGAACAGGGTAATGTAAATTACGGGGATGATGGGGGATCACGAAGCTACTCAATTCAGGTAGATCCCTTTTTCAAGTTCACTACACTGACTACGAGGAATTCCCTTTTCAGGTTCAGCCCCGCAACTCTCCTTACGCATAAACCGTGGAGAATTAAAGTACAAGGGAGGAGAGGAGGAGCCTAACTAGGGATACTCTCAGGATCGGGATCCTCTAACTAGGAAAACTCTCTACACCCCCAGAATTGAAACTTCAATTCTAGAGTTTGAAATAGGTCAGAAATGATAACACCAAACATCGGAGATCATCTACCTCAAACTGGAGTATTCATAACCCAAAGAAATACTATACTCAACAAAGCACATTCAATACAAGTAGCCAAAGAAGCATATTTATGGTCGGTTAGTATGAGCGATGAGTTTGTGTTGAACGTAGTCTGACAGGATGGAACAGATGGAGAGAGTCCACGCCTGCGATGATCTTGCACCAGTCTAGTGGCTCTTCTAGACATCTCTTGCCTATAAAGAGTCCTGGCAACAGTCAGCTTGGATTTTGCTGAAACACTGGGTCCGTCTTGATTCTCATTGCTTGGTTGAGGATTCAAAAGTGAGACAGAGTGGCAAGACTTGAAGTTTCTTTCCCAAGAATGATCTAAAGCGTAGTGAGAAGGCACCGTCTTCGTCCGATTGAACTCGTCATAATCGGAAGACAAACGATCGAAAGAACCGAAGGTGGCAAATCCGCCAGATTTAGAAAACCATTCTGTAATCATGCCATCGAGAGCCTTGGGCGCTTTCTTCGAATCCAACAGCGGCATTAATTCTTCTCGAGAGAGGCCACTCATTCCCATGGCAGAACCCAGACGTTGGAATAGAGGAGGTTTAAGCGCCTTGGTGAAATGATCCGCCAAGTTATGTGTTCCAGGGCACCAGTAGGGTCTGATCTGCTGATTTGCGACGTAGTCCCTAATTCTGAATTCACGCAAAGCTATGTGGCGAGTGCGATGAGAGTTATCCGGGTGATTTGCCACAGACAAGCACGCCTGATTGTCAATCAACAAGGGGACAGGAGGTACTTTGTCAGTAATCCCAAAGAGCACTGGAAATTCAGTCATCAAGCCATGCAACCACACACCGGTATCTGCTGCAGTACTTGCGGCAATGAGCTCACTTTGCATAGAACTAGATGCGTGAATAGTCTGTTTCTTACTAGACCAAGCAACCAGATTGCCGTAGCAAAGAAAGCAGTTTCCAGAAGTGCTGTACATTCCGCCATCAATAATCTTATCTAAATGATTTGCATCGGAGAATCCAACTATTGGAGAAGAATCTAAAGCGTTAAGCTCGATGTAGGTTCGACTTAGTGAGTGTAAAACGGAAGACGCGGAACCAGTGGATGAATAACTTAGTTTCACATCTTTGTGGTTCTTCAAATACTTCATCAAGGCCTTCAGATAAAGGATATGAATTTTCTTAGGGTCATGCATACCTTTACATGCTTTGTTTACTACAGTGGCTATGTCTGGGCGACAAGTGATGGAGAAATAGAGACAGCTTCCAACAATAGAGGCAAAGTTATCTTTGAGCAGAGTTTCTTCTTCGTCCAGTGGATCATCATCAAGTGGCGGCTTCTCAAAGTCTACCAAATATGGGGCCTCTTGCCATTTGTGCTTAAATGGTTTAGGAGGAGAGGAGAGAAACGGAAATTTCTTGAATAGATCTTCGATCTTGCTCTTGACATTGAACAAAAGCTCATTTCCATTGTATTCAATATGCATGCCGAGAAAACTATTGATAACTTCATCCCACTGTCCATCGCCCTTGAACTTGGTGTCAAAGGTTGTACGTATTAACTCGATTGCTTCCTTGTCAGTTCCAGTGATAATTATATCATCAACGAAAGCAGCGCAGACACACCACTTACCGTCCTTCTCGCTGACATAGAGGCATGTGTCACTGTTGCTGCGAGTAAATCCAATGCCGACCATGACATCATTGAGCATCTTATTCCACAACATGGGCGCTTGCTTCAATCCGTAGAGGCTTTTCAACAAACGTATACCTATCTTGCTGTTTGGGTTGTCACGCTGCATCTTATTCAATACATCATGTTTAACGCTGACACCAGGAGGCATAGTGATGTAAATGTCTCTGTCAAGCGTACTTTGAATGAACGCCTGAGGAATGTCAGCATGATGTATGGGAAGATTGTGCTTTACGCCAAGTGCCATAACCAATCTGCATGTGCTAATGGATGCCATTGGGCAATAGATGGAATAATAGTCAACCCCGATTTTCGCCATGAAACCCCTGACCACAGCACGCGCTTTGAACTTATCAAACTCTCCATTAGCTTTCTTCTTCACTTTCAATACAACCCTAGTACTGATGGGTGAACGTTCTTCTGGAAGAACCTCCAAAGAAAAGCATTCATTTCTACATAAGCCAGAGAACTCTTTGATAATAGCCTTTAGGAAATCATCTCTCAGTTCGGGAAGCTCTTGATTTAGCTCAATCATTTTCTCAGGCACGTACTCAAGATCGTCTTCTCCCAACGCAGTTGCCAAACAGGTGAGTTGCAGATATACACTGATAGTCTTATGTTTGTTCAGAAGACAGGATTCCGCAACAGCAAGGTTTGCTTCCTCTTGATCGTCATAGTAAGAACAGCAGAGAAAATCAAGGCTGCCAGCTGTATCGTAAATTTGTTTGAAGTGACGACCAATGGTGTCATAGCTGCCGACCAAGCATTCATCTTTATTGGAGAAGGTGCTGCGTCATCTGATTTCTCTATCTGAGTGTCAGTAGACTCCAAAGATTCAGCGGGGACTTTAGCTGCTAGGTGAGACTCTGCAATCTCATCAAGGTCGTATTCTTCAAACTTCCTCTTAACATCATTTATGATCTTACCTAAGCCGGACCAAGAGTCCATGCCTAATAGAAGTTTCACTTCCCGTGTGTGAGGTGTAGAGTTATTTATATTTCTCCTCAACTCAGCACTTCTTGAAAGTACTCGGCATATCTCATGAAATGTGCGGTAAAATTCGACTTCAGCCGGTTGCGCATTATTGAACCAACTATGCTGCGTTATACCGTAACTAGCAGTGATGGAACTCTCTACTCTGGACAGAAGGGATCTCTCTGCTTCATCCCGGTCATAACTGGGATTGATGACCATAATCCGTTCAATGATCTTTTCCTGTTTCTTCCACCAAACCTGAATGGGCATATCAGGTAGCTTAACATTTATTTCATGCATTTGAACATTAAGCTGAGCTAATCTCAGCTCTGGACTGTAGTCAAAGTATTCTTCGAGCCTTTTTAGAATGAAGGCAAGTTGACCTGGTCCAGCATGACCGGATTGAAAGTGATCTTGCAACTGAGTAACGCTACTATTACTCTTATAATTCCCACCAGCAATCCACTGAAGAAATAACTGCGAAAGGGCAGCGTCATTTTTCATCCAAGTCTTTTTGCTAATTCTGGTGGTATTCAGGGATGAATAGAATCGCTCTGACTTCGGATCGTATGAAGACTTCATGGGGTAAACCTGCTCAACTTGTTTGTGCAGATTCTGAATGAAGACTTCAAAATCACCACCAAGCTTATACTTGTCGACCTTGCCATCATCTGAATACAAGTATATGAACGTATATTCATCAGGATGAGAGTAGCCAGCTCTATCAAAATCTGGATGACCAGCGACGTACATTAGAGCCTCTTTCTGGAACCTGTCGACATAACTTGAGCCATGAGAGAGCTCTTCATACATCCTTAGCTTTTGCATTCCAAAGGATGGACAGTTGATTTGCCTAGAGAAAATAGTAACTTGTGACGGAATGTCACCTTCGCAAAATGCATGCTGCTCTATAATTTCTTTGATCTTATGGGGAGGCTTAATTAAACCTCAACCTGTCATCAGAATCAGATCTATAGTCCGAGTCTGAAGACACTTGTCCTAGGTTCGTTGAAGCGGACACATGTGCAACAGTGTCAGGTATGATTGCTCTCACACTTGTGAGGAGTTTAACAAAATTGTCTTTAAAATTGTTCATTTCACTAGTCTTGAGAGCGTTCTCGCTCCTGTATTCCTCAATAGTGTTTAGAGCCGTACTTAGCTTGGCCTGAACGAGACTGAGCTTAGTTTCCTCATTTGCAAGGTGATCAAGGAGATTTCCAGTATCTGAATTGTGCCACTCATTAAGAGTTAGTAGATTAGACTTGACTTTTCCAGTCAAATTTACTAGATAGTCAGCAGTCCGTTCATCCAAGCCTTCTGGAATTCCATCATCATCCTCTGTACTTTCTGCTAAGAGAGTGTTAAGCCTTGCAAGATTTCGTTCTTTTAGCTCCACTTTCAGTGCTAGGTAAGCACTAAAAGGCACAGCGCTTGATGCTTCAGCAGCGCCTGTTGGACCTGATGGGTCCTGAGCCATGACACCCCCCTGCTTACCAAGCACGGGACGGGAGCGAAGACGAAGGGCGCGTACAGATGAGCGCGGGCAGCGACTTTCACGGAGATGGATACGCTAGGGCAACCATAACCTAGAGAGAAATACCCTAAACTAGGGTACTAAGGAACGTTGAGATCAACGTTACGGGTAGTGCAGTGTCATCTCCATAGTGTGACGTCGCGATAGTGAGGGAACAGGGTAATGTAAATTACGGGGATGATGGGGGATCACGAAGCTACTCAATTCAGGTAGATCCCTTTTTCAAGTTCACTACACTGACTACGAGGAATTCCCTTTTCAGGTTCAGCCCCGCAACTCTCCTTACGCATAAACCGTGGAGAATTAAAGTACAAGGGAGGAGAGGAGGAGCCTAACTAGGGATACTCTCAGGATCGGGATCCTCTAACTAGGAAAACTCTCTAGTCTTTTTCTTCCACGTGACGTAAATCCCCCAATTGTCGTCCTGCGCGGTGATAGCGGTCACGCGGCATTCTTTTACGACGCCGAGGAGCGTCGCGAGCAGCACGTCGCCTTCCGCCACGTCGCGCCACTTCCGCGTGCGTTCGTCCGCCGGCGGGCGCCTTCTATGCTTGAATTGCTTCGGCGTAATGGCGGGTTGCGTCGCCATAGTGTGTCGCTAACTCGGCTTAGCGAGAGCTAGAAACGCCTATGAACGCCTATGAACGCCTATAAACGCCTATAAACGCTTAGGACGGCTTAGATATATCTACTGAGATATATCTAGCAGCACTTAGGACACGACGCAAGCATGGGCGAGACATGTTCGTAGACGGCGGCAGCAGCGACGAAGACGGCGCGTCCGAGGGCAGCGAAGGCTCCGCTGCTGCGGCGGTCGACGATTGGTTCGATGGTTCGAGCGAAAGCGACGGCGATAGCAGCGCCAGTGAACGCGGGAGCGAGAGCGACAGGTCCGCGGGCGTGAACGACGACGACGAAGACAGCGCAAGCCAAAGTAGCTCATCTTCAGGGCAGCCCGCAGCCGCGC